CTAATGAAACATCTAACAAAAACCTGCATAGTCCGGTGTTTAACTCATCATAGAGGATATAAAGAAAAGGTTTGTTCTTTGAAAATTTGACTATTTCCTTTGTCCTCACGTGTGAAAATATTTTTTTAAAAATGTGACGTTCCTAAACTTCAGATCATAACAAACTATATAGTTTTTTATATACAATATTTATAGAACACCCAATTACAGTAGTTATCTTATTTGTAACGTTAAGTAACTTTTGTGGTTCTGAACATTTAGTTGGTTTAGAAAGTACAACTGGCTGTTTAGATTGTAAAGGGTGCAGACTAGGAGGTAGTTCAAACATTATATGATAAGGTAAAATAAAATAACTCTGTTTGTGAAAATAAAAGCATATCACCTTACAACAAGGTCTTACTCCTGCTCTGAATGAGCCACATTTGTCAAAATGGGATATAAAAAGTACTGTCGTTTCTTTAGAAACGTATTCGCTCCACGCACTGTAAGTCTTTACTGCCAGTTTAGATTTGATCATAGAGAACTCAATATCCAAATGTTTATGTAGTATTTTCTCATGCAGTCGTACTTGGATTAACCGTGTCTCCTCTATACGCTGTCAATTTGCAAGATTACTCTCGCAAAGTTCCCACACAGTTAAAGCCAAGTTCAGAGTTGTTGTTTTTTCCTCGACTTTCTTGGCGCACAAATATTTTTCTACGACGTGCTGTCATGCGGTTTAATTTTCTAATAAAATCTCTTGCTTTAACGTTTGCATTTGGTGTAAAACTTGCCCCGTTACCTGTTCTTAACTTTCAAGTGCACGGAACCAAGTCGGAACATTAATTTCGCGTCATTCGTTCACGCCAGCCTCCAAATGAAGCCGTCGGGATTTAGTATTCGGAGCGCCGCCTCCACAGCCGGCTCTTTCTGCAGGCTTATCTGAGCCTCCTGGGAGCTGCTGGTGTCTCAGCCCACTGCCTCCAGGCCCTCTGCAGGGACCTGCTGAAGCAAATGACAGTAGGTAAGAGAGGAGGGAGTTAAGGAGGGGAGAAGAAAAAAGGGGGGAGGGAAGAGGTGAAGATGGGAGGAGTGCGAATGAAATGCGCCACTATAAAGCTGTCAGAGCTACTCACTTTTTTATATTAGGGAGCTTATCTTTCCTGGAATGGCTGCTTGTGTTGCAGTCCTCGAGCACATAAATGCAGGCTTAAGAGATGAAAACCCGGCTGTATATATTTAAGTCAGTGGGGAGCAGCAGGAGACGGGTGGGAGTGAATTGAGGATTATTGATGCTCTGCTGCAGATAGTTTGACATGTTGCTGTGTCTGGGTCACAAAGATCAATAATGGCAGCCAGTTTGTTTGTGCGACCTTAGATGATTTTTATTCTCTAATAGGGCTGGACAATAATTCATTATCGGTATATATCACAATGTACTTTTATTCAATAACGGTGATATGAGTTATAAGCACATTTTCAATATATTGATATGACACAACTACGTAAGTGTGTGATGACGTACACCACACACGGAGCTCGAAGGAGTTAGCGGTAGGAGGCTAGGCTAGGCTAAGCACCAAGGAGCGGTAAGTTTTCGCTTCAAAATGAGTTCCCGTGACCGCCAGAATGTGACTGAACAAGCTTTCACAAGTGAAGACGAAACAGATGACATAACTGATAAGAGAGGAAAGACTCATTCGGAGGTGTGGAAGTAGTTCGGCGTTCTAAGATCCGATAAACTGCGAGTGTGCTGCAAAATGTGCTGGAGAGTCGTTCCAACTAGCGGTGGGGACACATGGAACTTGTTCCACTCGGTAGAATCTGCTGAGAGTCACAAGATGAAGCACAATAAAGTTTGAGCCAACGTGTCCCTGAAACGCCCCCAGCTGTATCAAAAGAGAGGCAGAAGTTTGCTGCATGGGTTGTTAGGTTATGTTGTTTAAAGTTAAAACTATTAATATTGACAAAGTTGAGAGTTTTATCTTTATTTGATGATGATGTCAAACGTCTTTTGAAGGTTAAATACAAATAAAAGGTGAACATTAATTTATTTGTGTAGTTTGTACAGTTTTTCTGAGGCTTTTATATCGTTTATATCGATATCGAATTATATCGTTATCGACCAAAATTAAGAAATATATCGTGATGAATGTTTTGGCCATATCGTCCAACCCTATTCTCTAACCACATTTATTAAAAGACTTTAAAGAATGTTTATAATTTTCACATTTTGCTTCTTCCTCCAGGTTCACATGAAACCAGCGTCTGTGTAAAACTGCTAACCTGACCATTAAGCATTCCTCGTTTGTCACTTTTTAGGACACAGGCAAGCTGAACGTGTCGTACTTCCGCTTCGACATAAACGACGCCACAGGTGACCTGGATGCTAACCGACCCGTTCCATTCCGCCTGACGCCAAACATCTCCGAGTTCCTGTCGACCATCGGGGTCTCCGGTCCGCTCACTGCCTCCATGATCGCCGTGGCGCGATGTTTCGCACAGCCCAACTTTAAGGTAG